ACTATCCCGACAGTTTTACTGATGTGGAAACCCTTTCCCATGCTTCAGCAATGACAGGATGAGAGGAGTGAAACTGACATATGCTCAACGTTTTATTTAAGGCATGGGAAGATTCTCCTCCCACATGAATTAATGGCTCATCCATTAACACAGCACAGCTCCAGTGTACTGTACAAGAGGGCATCTAGAACCTCAGGGTTTCAGAGGGTCATTGATACCAGGGTTATCGAAAGGTGGTAAGGCCACATATTCTGTTTTGAAAATACAATTAAGGCATTATGGGAAGAGGGCAGGCTGGCAGAGACAGTGTTATGATCTGGGCAATGTTCTGCTGGGAAACCTTGGGTCCTGGCATTCATGTGGATGTTATTTTGACACATACCACCTACCTAAAGATTGTTGAAGTCACACATACACTCTAATGGCAGTAGGCTTATTCAGATAATGCACCCTGGCACAATGCAATATTTGTTCAGGAATGGTTTGCTGAAAATAACAAAAATTTTAAGGTGTTGCGCCTTGGATTCCAAATTTATAAGATCTCAATCCGATTGAGCGTCTATGGGATGTGCTGGCCTCACCTCGCAGGACTTGAAGCATCTGCTGCTAATGTCTTGGTGCCAGACACATTCAGAGGTCTTGTGGGGTCTATATTAGGCAGGTGGTTTTAATGTTGTGGCTGATTAGTGTATATGCATAATACATTTGTATAAATATATTTTCTGGATATACAGCCATTTTTGCATATATAAAAAAAACATTAATAAAGAAGTTATACATGTAGATTTAAACAAAATATTAGTGATTAGTGCAGATCACCCGTGGGATCTATTCTTTTTCGTTTGATTTTGAATCAGATGTCCCACTCAGAATCACACACTATGGCAGGTCATTCTGAAAGGGAATCTAAGTGCACTGTTGTCAATAAAACAGTGTGACTGGACCAATAAAAAACTGAATTTCATTTGATGCCATAAACCTGCACTTTAAAAAGAAGAACAATATCCTCAGAAGCATCAGTTTGTGCAACTGCTGGTACAGACACTTAATTGCTGGCATAACTGTTAAAGGATAACTAAACGTCACTGTACTGTTTGAGCGAAAAAATACAGTTTAACCTTAGTTTAGCTAAATTATCTTGTGTTTACCAGGAGCAAAGAACGGGATTAGTAACAAATGAACTTGTAAAAATGCCTCTCTCTGTGGTCATCAAGCAGAACTTTTTTATAGTTGGACATTCTAAAAACTGTAAAATAAAAGATGAGAGTAATACAAAGATTTGGCCTTTGGAATACGTGTATTTTTTATGGTGGAACATTGTACCAGGGGTGACATTTATTATTTAGAAAAATTATTCAGAAAAATATAGCCAATAACACAAGTTCATTTGAAAATGCATGTGTAATGATTATCAGTCTTTATGATATCCCACCCTCATCATATTAACCCGTTATCAGCTATAAATGAGGTTATCATCAAAGTCACCAGACTCCATAAATCTTACCTTAGCAATCTCAAAGCTATTATGTTATCAATTTTTGTTTCCCCATGTCATAAATTATTTTGGACACGCCAAGATATAATTTTCATTTCCAGAATGCAATAAATAGTTCATTTATTATATTACATTAATATTTTATTTATTTGTGCAATATTTATGTCATCATTAAGACTCCGCAGTGACTTCCCCTTTCTATGAAAATCGTCTTGTTTTATAAATTGATTAAAATGAAGTCTTGCTAAATATTCTGCATCTTCAAAGTCAGAAGAGATGGAGTTGATGACTTCAGATGTCATCTGATGGCTCTTGACCTTTGATAGACCGCTATCTTTAAAGATAACATATAGTATCTGAGACTTCTAGATATGCTATCATTTTTTCAGTTGTATGATGCAAATGTTATCTTTGATCTCATTTTTGTTGACTACACCTTTGAGGACCTCCTAAAAATGCAATAAAGTTTATTTTATAACACTGCAAACTCATGACGAAACCATCAATGCAACCATGATTTGTCAAAAATTTGCTGATGTACTGTCATATATGAAACAGACCTTGCCCTGTGATTGTTGATGCGAACAAAAAAGATTCAATAAGAGCACAAAATGATATTCTACATTTAGAACTGGTGACACTGCAGATTATTTGTGACAATAAAGAACATTTAACATGAAATGTCGAGGAGTAAATGATAAGATCAAATATCACGCTTTGGAAACGAAAAGAAGTTCAAGTATCAAGCTCATACTTATCTCCAAAATACAATGTAACCGTAAGATATTTACAACCTTGAAGAACCCTTTATTCATGGTCCAGATCTGTTTTAATTAATAGTAATAGTAATTAAATAGTAAGACTTGAATTTGGACAAAAACATATTTTTAATGACAGAGTAACATTTAACATAAATTATTAAAGCGTAACATTAGTAGTCGGTCTGTTGGCATAAATGACATGTTAGTACAGTATTGTGGAATTTTGCTACATTTTGCTTACATCACAGACAAAACACAAAACAACACTATAACCGAAAACGGTTTGTCTACAAACCAAAGTCTGAAATTAAAAAGGTACATTGCAAATGATTGGACCCTGTAGTGTGCTCCGGACTTTTAAGAGTCCTCAGGTGATGGTCAGTCATAAGTCCATAAATGGCTATATCTACAGTATCTATGGCAATAAATGTCAACACACAATAACAACAAAAAACGATCAGTCATGCAAACTCAAAACGGGGAGAGGCTGGGCACTTTTATATTGATGTCCCCGATATTAATGTTACGGGGTATTTCAGGAAGGTTCATATTTTTCACAGCAGAAACAGCTCGTGCTGGTGCTGCAGACAGACCGCCCTGCAGAAAAAAAACACACAAAAAATATTTTATCACTATTATTATTAACCTCAACATTCTAGTTTTTTCCATGAACTATCATACAGGATTTACTCAGCATTAAATTGAAGCCCAAACTTGGCTCATGAACAATATTCTGTAACCCAATCTAATAAGTCCAGTGAAAATGTTAAGGGTACAAGGCTAAACCCAGCCCAAAACAAGATTTTATTTGAATTATTATAATATACATAATATTATATTTTATTTAGAAAAGTTATCTATACACAAAACCGAACTTATACAAGAAAAACTACTTGTGACCCGGCCAGACTTGTTAAACACTGCATTTTGGTGTCAAAGTACAAAGTACGGTAGAGTTTATGAACCACCACCATCCCGTTTCTACAGTCTTTAACCAAATGTTGTGGATGGATGTTGCTTTGATACTCTTGTATCGTCTTGTGTAACATTTCCTCATTTTAACCCCTTCCATGTATACGTAAGTGCGTCTAGTGTTGTCAAACATTATTGATCGCCTCGCCTCCAGATAGAATATCAGGAACACAGTGACTGTTAATCACTGATATCGGCCCAGACACCTTTCACCATTATATGATATCATTATAGGCCTTTCATTTTTGATACAGCCAAACGATTTGCAGGAAAAAGAAAGTGATGCTGAACAAGACGTAAAATGTCTTTTGAAATATCGTTCATGTTTTTTACAAACATTCCCAAGGCCCTGTTAATGTGTACAATACTATTTACCCTGATTCTTTAAAAAAAAAAAAAAATAGCATGTATGTATCACAGAAAACTATTTAAAAATGTCCCTTCCTGTTTGGATTGAGCCACAACAATGAATGTAAAAGATGTCTGAATAAACTGGAGTGACTACCGGTTACTCTGTTAATGTGAACTCGCCTCTGATTTCTCCATTCTGTTCTGCAGCTCGACTTGGGCCACTATTTCATTCATGTTCGTTTCCAGAACCATTCCACCCATGACAACTTCCTGGAGAATGTAATGAACCTGGAATAAACAACAAAAACTTCAACCTTCAAACCCTTGTTTTTCATTAGTAACTTAATACAATAATGATTCACGACTAAACTGGCCTGAGTAACAAAACACATTTCCCAATTTGAATCTGTTTCTTTAGGGTACATTATTAGCAAATATTTATAATATTTAAAACATTTTATCACTGGCGTCATCGCAAATGAAAAGTATCAGTTCAGAAAATCATTTGGTCCTGAATCGGATCACACTGGTTTTGCATAATCTTTTTGATTCTCTAAAAAAGTCATTTATTTGTGAATCTGAGTATGCTGGTTACACTGTATGTTTTGATTCATTAAAAAGAACCAGTTCATAAGAGACACTTGTTTGGGAATCCAGTTATACTTATTTAACTGTATGATTTAATGTACTAAAAGAACTGCTTCATAGGAATCATTTGTTTGTGAATCGGATGGAAAATGCAATTCATCAGAAAATCATTATTTTTACGCAAACAGCTCAGCTGACCAAATCAGA